AGTTCGGAAGATGATGACCACAGACATGGATTGCTTGCAGCATCCATTAGATTCCTTTTGAGCCTCGATTGGGAGGTTAAAATTTCTCATGTCTTTTGAGAAATGAATGGACTATCTTTCTAATGTTGGTCATCGCTTTCCTTTTGGTACACATTCCTTCGATGTGTACGACGTCGATCTTAGACAATAACTCTTTTACGATGTAATGGGGATTTCCCAGAATCGTTCTATTACTAATACGAATTAGGCGCTATAGCGTCAACCTTTCTACCAAAAAAAGACCAACATCGAAGTGGCGATCTTTGAAGGCCAGGGGTCAGATTATAGTGTGGTAATTAGAAATTATAAAGGGGAAATTTTTTTTGATTGGGGTACAAAGGACCAGAAGACAATGGTCACTGTAATTTGCGGAGGCGTTGGCTATTCAGTTTGAGGTGGAGGACTGGAAATGGCAAAGAGATTTTATTTCTCACTTGGGGAAGTGGGATCATATATTGCCTTTTAGTCATTCAGAGAATGCAAAGTGATAAATATGCAGAGATGGAGATTATCGGCTTAAGATAGAGTGTATAACCTTAGGGTGCATAATCAAATCTGGACCTTTCTTTTAAGTGACTGCTAGGGGTGGCAACGGATCGGATCGGGGACGGTTACCAACTATCCGTTCCTCGCCCATGGAGATATCCGAGTATACCCGATATCCGCACAAACTAAAGTCATGGATACAAAATATGATACCACATTCAAGTGCGGGCAGATACCAGGTATATCCGGCCCCGAATTTTACCCCCCAGCTTGTGATCAAACAACAAAAGAAAGTAATTATCAGAATTTATAAAACCAACATCGAAAGAAACAAATGATATAATCATCCAAAGATTCCCAACACATCATTGAACATAAAATATATCATCAATCCATCCAAAGTTGAAGCCAAAGAAAGCAACAGAGAACCTGATGGTTCATTGATGATTGTTCACAAAACACTCCATATAAAATGGAAGCCAAAAGAGAACTTAAATCTGAGTTCAGTTCCCACAAAACATTCAAGCAGCAAAAGAAAAAACTACTTCATCAATCAAATCTGCAAATTACTTCCCGACAGCAAAAGTTCATCTCCAAAAGACTTCCTAGCAGCAAAAAAAAAATCCCATCATCATACTTTCCAGCAGCAAATCAGCAAATGACTTCCAGCATCAAAATAGACACCCACCAGCAAAGAAACTTCAGCTCAAAAGACTTTCCAGCAGCAAAAAGACATCCCAGCAGACCAACAGCAAAACACTTCATCTCCAAAGACTTCCCAGCAGCAACTCTATATCCCAACAACACCTACTGATACAAAATAAACTAGATAAGTACTAAGTAGGGAGTACAAGTTAGCTTCAATGTCATGATCAAGTTCAATGTAAATAATGTTAAATAAATACCATTTCTCATGTCAGCTTCAATGTCATGATCAGGTTCAATATCATCCACCTTGAATATAGAAGAACACTCCTTCCTATTTGCATAACCAGATTCTTATCCATCAAAGAAAACAAAGAATTAATCATTGATCAACATGAAAAGATGTAAATCAAATAATAAGAGGCAATACCTGTTTTAAGTTCATCATGCAACCAAGTTCTGGTACACATTAATGCTTCCACAGTGGTGTGATGAAGCTTACTACGATACTGATCCAACAAGCGCCCACCTGAGCTAAATGCAGCTTCAGAAACTACAGAGGTCACAGGGACAGCAAGCACAGCCCTTGCAATTTCTTGCAATGTAGGATACTTGACACCATTCATCTTCCACCACAATAAGATATTGAAATCTGGAGTTCTAGGCAGATTTTCTTCATCCAAATAACTATCCAACTCAGGCCTATAAGTGGATTTTCTTGGCCTTTTCCTTTGGCTCATATATAAATCAAATTCCAGATCAACACTAGAGGCAGCAACACCAACAAGAGATTGACCAGCAGCACAATCAACAGAGGAGAAATCAGCCTTCCCACTCGTTTTGGTCTTATACTCCAAAACAAGAGCATACATGATCCTCTTAATCTTTTCAGCATCCAGACCAAACTCAGCATTGCCAAATTTCTTAGAATAACACTCCACAATGTCAATCTTGTAGCGAGGATCCAATATCACCACCACAGCCAATATTTCATGAACTTGGTCCATATAAGTGAGGCCATTTTAGAAATAACCTCATTAGGATCATTCATTCATTCACCAAGTTTGACCCTCAAGTTGCATATCTTAGGAAAGAACAGATTAGCAGTAGGGTAGCTAGTTCTAGAAAACATATATGATATCTCGCTAAAGACTTGCAACTTTTCATAGATAATTGAAGCAAATTCCCAGTGTGAACTCATAGGCAAGCAGTCATATTGAGAATCAAATTGAGTAAGACGGGAGAAAACATCCTTGTATGGTATAGCAGCTGCAAGCATCAAGTAAGCTGAGTTCCACCTAGTAGGATAATCTATAACCAACTTTTTGTCATTTGAAAGTTTTAGTTGTCTTGCTGCTTCTTGGAAAAGTTCCCGTCTTTTAGGGGTGGCAGTCCAATAGGAAATACTGCCTCTGATTTTTTCAATGTCATCCCTAACAACATCTAGCCCATCCTTTACTATAAGGTTTAAAACATGAGCAGAGCACCTCATATGCAACATAGCACCATCCATCAACATATCAGATAAAACTAACTTCCTCTTGATCTTTTCAATCATTGAATCATTCGTGCTGCAATTGTCCAAGGTGATAGTCGCCTTAGAATCGATGTTCCATTGCATCATGCAACCAATAAGGGCCGCAGTCAGCCTATCACTTGTATGAGCAGTAGGCACATACAAGAACCTACAAAAGATCAAATACAAAACAAAAAAGAAGAAGCAGATTCTATTAGTATTTGAGTATATGTCTATATGATTTTGAACTATAAGTAAAAAAATCTATATAAAATAGCATACATAAGCATATGATTTCGCAGAATCCAAGAGTTGTCAATGTAATGTGCAGTGACAACCATGTATCTTTTTTTTTTTTTTTGTTACTTGCAGTCCACATATCAGTTGTGATTGCAATTCGCCCTTTGTTAACTTCTAAGACTTTCTGGATCCTGAACTTCTCACACTCATACATCTTGACAATATCCCATTTGATGGTATTTCTCGATGGGACGCTAAAGAGAGGTTGAAGCAAGCAAACAAATCGTTTGAAGTACAGATGATCAACCATGGACAGTGGGTACTCATGCATTAAAACAGCCACAACAAGCTCTTTCCTAGAGACTTCAGGATTAAATGCAGTAGCAACCATCTCTTTTTTCCCCCTTAGAAACAAAGTTTGGACCAAGGACTTTTTGCTTTCCATCATGGATCTTTTTTTGCAAGCAGGTCAGTATATGACTCCTAAGATGTGAGGTTCCATTTCTTGCAATGGTTGCATCTGGCTTTGATAAATACGCTTAACTCTGATCTTTGTAAAGTGCTTCCAGACATCACTTTTCAGTTTGGTTGATTGAATAACTTCTTTATCAACTTGCACATCCACGTTTGGAAGTGCTTGGCCTTGTCCTTGACCTTGTCCTTGATTTTCTCCTGCAACTTGCACATCCACGTTTGATACCCCAATTTAATTTTAATGTAAAATCATTGAACAATTATATTTTGGTATCAAAATATAATGAGATTTTGGTACCTACAATTTCTGTAAATTTACATATTGGTTCAATGTTTAGATTTCACTTGAATCCATGAATCCAATCCACCATAACAAAAAAAAATAGTTTGTATCATACAAGATGTATCACTCAACTGTAGAAGAAGATTCGACCATTTTATATTTGCTTATTACGTGAAATATTAAATAAATGATAAAGGAGAGACGACTCTAAAATATTGTAAGAGCGATTTTATAAACTTATTTAGTACATTTACGGGGTACTAAACAAATTTCTACTAACTACATGTAACAAAATAGGCGACATCTACATTAGCAAGTGTCAATAAATTGCTACGGTGAAAATTGTTGAATGTTATATTGACGGCCAACTAAAAGAATTGGTCAAAATCTTTCCATCATCTACTTCCATAACTCTTTCTTTATTTCTTTCTTTGCCTTCTTCATCTACCCCCTAATTAGTATACAATTTTTATGTATTCTAATCACAAATATGAACGAGTCTATACACAACTTACCAACAATCTAGAGATTTAATAATTGAACCATGAACCACTAACCCTTTCAGCTCAATGTCGAGTCCAATTAAAAATAAATATATATGGTTATTACTTATTAGAAAGTCATCATTTTCCACTATGGGATTTGAAGGCGTGAAATTTTAGGCGAGTTCCAATTTGTATTCCTTTTGCTTCTCTCTAAAGTTTTTCTTTTTCACCCGGGCTAGAATTTTCAACAATTATACATGGAATGTTTGACTAGATATCTACACATATCAAATAATAATTTCCATTTTTTATAAAAAATTAAATAATTATCATTTTACATACGTCACCATAAAGGAATTAAGCCTCAACTATACAAATTACAGTTCGGTACCTAAACTTATTAGATCTTTAGATTTATAACCTAAATTCACTTTTTTGGCACATAAGTCCTCAAAATATTAATGGAATATTACATTTTAGTACCTAAAATTTTTGTGTATGACATTTTTGTACCTTAACTTTTGAATTTTTACAAATATGTCTAATTTTTGTATGTGTAATTAAAACACCCTCGAATAAATTGGTATCCATACCCAACTCATACACATTAAGATTATGTAAATAAATATCCATAACCTACCCAAACTCATCTACAAACTTTCAAACTCATATATATGTCACTCATACCCTACCCATAATCAATAAGTCTACTTGGGTTTAAGTAAATATCATTTATTAGCCATAATTTTCAAAAAAAATTAAATTGAATGTTGACCGGCATATTTCTCTTCTTAGTCAATATGATATTGTCAAGTCAACATTACTAACAAAACTGCAAACAAAAACATAATTTTAGACTAATAATACTAATAAAACACCATAACGGGTCACATAATGCATGCGCATAGACCATCTCCGTCCTACAACAAGACGCAACATCACCACCTAGTAGCAATTAAATGGGGAATAATTAGTTTTAGATTCCAAACAACCAGTTCAGAGGAGCATCTAAATAGGGGAAAATATAATCCAAAAGACACCCAGAAAAGAGGAACTGTACCAAAATATATTTGCGGGAACCTCAGCTCCGCTGTACTCAAATGGGGAATAAGTAGGTTTGGACTTTGGATATCATACAACCAGTTTAGAGAAGGATCTAATTAGAGAAAAATATAATCCAAAAAAGACACCGCAAAAAAGAGATGACCCACTGTACAATACCGTACCAAAATATAATTGTGGGAACCTCAGCTCTGCTGTCCTAAAATGGGGAATAAGTTTTTGATTTTCATATATGCCCAGTTCAGACTTCAGAGAAGGAAACAAGTAGGGGAAAATATAATCCAAAAGAACAGCCCAAAAAAGAGGACCCACTGTACTACCCTGTACCAAAATATATTTGTGGGAACCTCACCTTCGCTGTCCTCAATCTAAATTCTTGCGGACTTTAAGCAGCTTGACGTCGTACACTAGCCATTTCTCTGCTCCCTCGCTCTTATCATCAACATCACAATCTAGTGGGAGTGGTGGTACTGTGGTTGTAATAACCTCCCCGCCATCTACTCCTTCACTCCCATTTCCATGCCTAGTGCTGCTGCTTCTGCATCACAAGCATAACCGCTTAACAACAAACAACAATTTGGCATCAACAAAGAGAAGATTGGGTCCTCCTTGTTCTTATTGACTAACTGACTCAGCTACTTGCTTCGTTGCCAAGAAACCGACCAACCAACCTTGTGCATGAGGGAGCAGGGAATGTCAGCCGCCTCAACTCACCAACCCGCATACCTGCAACCAGTACCACCACACAACTTCCGTTAACTACAACTACCTGCCTCATTCGATACAGGTAAAAGCAAACTGAACATACGAAACAAAACAGCAAGATAGACAAAAGCATGACAACAATGTACCCTACCATTCAGACCAACATTCCAAGCCTCTGTAACCTCTTCCCCACCTGCAGCAAACATGACAGGATTACTGAATAAAAGAACTAAAACTTTGATTTCTTTCAAAATAAGACCGATCACAAACTCAGAGTGAGATGCTAAAGATCAATCTCCTACCTAGCACAAACTTCAGTGGACGCCCATCAATGTTCGAACTCAAAACTTCTCCAGTATTCTTCCGCTTGCCAGTATAAGATACACTGATCTGGAAGCACAGCAAAAAGAGACAGTTTTAAAAACTAACCTACAAATTAATTTGCACAACAAAAAACATGTTAGAGAGATAATCAACTAGTAAAGATTCCCAAACTCGTACAGACTCACTCTGGGACTATGGGAGAGAAGTACAGTTACAAAGACATCCAGAATTCATGACCCGGTTAGCATATATAACTTAGCAATCATGCATGCATCCGGTCCATTATGGAAATGACAGTTAACCTAGTCTCTTCTTTTTTATTTTTCTTTTTTACTTTTATGACTTATATTTACTTGTCTGAATACAAACGACTCCTACCATTTGAAGCTCCACGTGCCTGTTGTCAGAGATGCTAAATGAAAGAAAGAGATTTAACCAGCATAAATGCTCTCAGCAAAACTATAGACATAAGCGCACACAAATAACACTAGAAGCAATAAAATACAGGCACAATTAACAATAAAGAGCAAGTGGAAGAGTAAAATATGCAACTTAAAGGGCTTCACAGAAACAAATACCTAAATCAAAACAAGCATAGCCTTCACGCTTTGCCTCTGAGGCTAAAACATAAAACAGCTATTTAGACTCTTTCTTTTCTAAATAATTGAAGATCTCAGGATTCGGTGAATCGTTTCTTTCAAAAGTCTTGCTAATTAATTTGCATACATTCACAATAAGCCGCACACTAACACCATATGGCAATCACTAATATAGCCTTTGGATGTTAAGAAGTATACGTTAAAGTGAGCAAAAACAAAAATGATACTTGATAGTCATTCTTCCAATGAACCTACCTTCCTGCCTGGAGCAGCCAATCTTCCTTCCGTTTTCCCTGGTTCTAGCTCCTCTACAAGTAATCCCCCTGCAAATGTCTGGACCTGAGATAACTTGGTCTTAGCAACACCTTCCTCAATTTTGGCAGGTTGATTGTCCTCGCCCTTTGGTGCAGCAGGTGTTTCAGCATTCAAACGCTTCCTTAGCTTCTGCCTATTACTTCTCTTTTCCTTTCCTTCTTCAGTATCATCAACAGATTGACTGCCCAACTCCTGAGATGATTTGATCTCAACAGCATCATCCTCAATGTTAGCATGTACATTTTCTTCGGCCTTGGATGGCACAGAAACTCCAGCATTCAAGGCCTTGCCAAGCTTGTCAATTTTACGTTTCTTTCGTTTCTTACCCTCTTGATCAGTCTCAGCAACAACCTGATCAGCCAAACAGATAGATATCCTGCACATCACATCATGTAGTACCAACATTATTCAAACAACAAGCTATAACAATTTATCCATCTAAAAAAAAAAGCTATAACATTTGCATTTGCAAAAATGTATTGGATGCTCAAACCACAAGCCGATCTAGCCAAATGCTTATCAATTGACATGTAGCCACCAAATACCAGATATTGAAGGAGAAACGTCAAAATTTCCTTCTATATATTTGACTTTGAGACTATATTTCCTTCTATATACTTCAACAATTATCTGTTGCCTCAGTCAACTCTATTGCTTGCCTCCAAATCAGCTTTAATTACATACTAAACCAGCCCTCACATTTTTCGCTTCTTATCCTTGTATTTTGGAAGGGACAGAACAGTTAGTCAAACAGAAGTGGCCATAAGGATTATAGAGTGCAAGCCACAATGAGACTAAGGAGTAAAAAACACAAAGATGGAATGCAAGCCACAATCAAAATCTCAAAAAGCCAAATATACTAACAGGGAAGAAGAATTGTCTTTGTCATACTCAGCCGGTGAAGAAAAATCATTATCCAAAACAGTGGGTGTCGATCCATGATTCTCTCCATCCTCTTTGATAGAGAAGCTATTGTCACACTTTTCCTGAGAGGCATACTCGTCGACTAGTACTTTCCGTTTTCTCTTTCTCTTTTCACTTTTTTGAAGATCGGTCTGCTTGGGAGGAGACCTGGAATTCAAGGCACATTGTTACCTCTTAGAGGGAATGACAGAAGGGAAAATGTGAGCAGGTAGAGAAGAACTATTGTGGAGCAAGTGTTGAAAACGGCTATTGAAAGGGATGCTCACTCACCCAAAATATGCAGTGTCCTTATCTACTTCCTTCAACAGAGACACATGATCACCAACCTTGCCATTCTTTTTCTCATTGTCCTTACGATTTGGCCACTTAAGGATGCTTACCGAGAAAAAATCATCTGGACCATCAGCTTCAGGTAGGTTCTTCTGTTTACCCTTATCTTTCATTTGGCTCTTGAGCTTATCCCGGTGCCTGCAAGAAACAAAAAAAAAAGTGTCAAAGTGAAAACAAAAGAATACAAGAAATATAGATGCCCGGCCTTCATTCCTACTTCACAAAAGAATATCTTCCTCAGCATATAATTTCATTAGCTTACCCTCTGCTCCACATTAGAATTAGAACGCACATGCTTTTACTTTTTTTCACCCAAAATTATTAAATTGGGAAACAGATGAAACAATTTTATTTAAAATCTCTATGCACATCAAACAGCTTTCAGGATGTTGCCTTAGTCAACATTCATTATATTTAAATTAGGCTCCCTACTTACCTCGGCATATAATTTCATTAGCTTACCCTCTGTTCCACATTAGAATTGGAACGCACATGCTTTTACTTTTTTTCACCCAAAATTATTCAATTGGGAAACAGATGAAACAATTTTATTTAAAATCTCTATGCACATCAAACAGCTTTCAGGATGTTGCCTTAGTCAACATTCATTATATTTAAATTAGGCTCCCTACTTACCTTTGCTGATTACCATCTACAATGGCACTTGGCTGTTCCACCAAAGTCAAGTTATTTGATGGTAAATCAGTCTCATTATGAACTCTGGCAGAAGGCTTCTTCTTATGTAGAGATGAAATAAGGACCAAAGCATCATCTTCTTCGCTACCCACTCCAGCATCAACATTATAACCAAATCCCATGGCCTGATGATCAGAAGAGTTGTCATCATCTGAGTCAGTTAACTTGTATGTCTTCCTTAGACGTTTATAGCGGCACTTCTGGTTCACAGGCTTTGCATTTACCTCTTCGACTGGTAAGATAAAAGAAAATTGAATGTACAAGAGCAAATGTATTAGAATAATTTATTTCCCCAGACAGACTTGAAGGAGAAGGAAGAAAAGAAAATCCCACTTTTCCCAGAAAGATAAAGTAATAGACCTCCATCACCAGAAACAAGAGAAGCAGACATGGTTCCTGGATCACCATCATTGATAAAACTATTCTCCTGGCCATCTTCTTCACTGTCATGGACAGACCTGTCTGTATCTGAATCTCCAATATCTTCACCATAAGAAACTCTAAGAGCCAAAAGTAAAGAACAAACAAGCCAACTTCCAAGTCTATTATGAAGAGTCTACTTCACAAATTGAGAAAATAAGAGGGACTTTGATTTGGCTCATTAACTAGCTTAAGTATTGTAGAACTAAGCCAAACACAAAGTTAAAGGAGGCAAAACATGAGAAGTCTAAGCAAACAGAAAGAATCATTCTTTCACATAATCGACAAGATATAATATGTGCAGCTACCTTATGGTTTGTATGTCAATGATTTCTTTATAATGGTGAAGCAATTAAATTAAGCATAAGGAAATCGATTACAAAACAGAAACGAAAGGAGAAACAAACAAGTGCCCAGCAATCACCAGAGTTGAGGCAAGCCAGGTGAGGGAAGGAAGAGTAAAAAAGATGCAGCCAAGAGGAACAAAACAATAAAAGGAAACTGGAATAGCAAGGAAGCAAAATGGGGCAGTAAAAAGGATACGAGTCATCACCAGCCTTGTGATTCCCATCATAGTCCTTATAGTAACCACTAAGGTGAACACTACGAGGACCAATAACAGAGAACACAACATCGTCGGTCTCCTGATACTCAACATGTATTTGGCACACCTCAGAGTTATTGGGGAACAATGTACACAGACAGATAGGACTCTTGTTTCCAACATTACACTGAAGTATGCTCTTATTGGTAGCAGTACCGTTCCCCAAAGAGGCCTGACCCACAACAATGAACATTAGCAAATGAAGGAAGAACTATTAAGTGAAAACAATGAACTTCGGAGGTACTCAGTTGTGGAAAATGACAGAGAGAGAAAAACAAGCCAACCTGCGAAACGTGTAGCCTTCTATTCCCACCATCAGACGTATGAGTGAAGGGCCTCCCAGGTTTCACTTCAACTCCTGAAACCGTAAGGCAAACGAAATAGCTGAAATAACAAACAAGCCAACCATACGTCGATGAAATCATCTTTTAGGTCAGGTGGAGATAGGATGAGCTGCTAACCCCAAAAAGCCATAGCTGATAACGAGAAATCCAAGCAGCAACAGCAACCAGTTTGGGAGAGATGCAAGGACGAAGAAACCCTAGGGATTCTGGACGACAACAAGCGATTAGTTTTAAACGACTACTTTCCCTTCCAGAAAGAGAGAGAAAAGAGGGAGCTAGATTACCGCAGCGTTTGTTTCCACTTTCCAAGGAAAACCTCAGTCGCTTTCTCCTTTTTCTTCTTCCTCCTCTGCCAGCCTGCTCCCGTGCTTCGTCTCCTCGGTCTCTGATACTTGCAATAATCACCCTTCCTTTCTTCCGCCGTCTATTCCGATTCTCAATAATAAAAATTAAAAAGCGAAGGCGAAGTTTGGGCGCCTAATTTTTGAGCGGGAGAAGTGAATGACATCGAGAGACAATTTGACGTTCCCCCCACGGCCCATCCCCAACAAATATTGGGTTATTTTCAGGAATATTGTTTTTTTTTTTTAATTTACCACGAATATAGTGGTTTTAAAATTATTTACATGAATATTGTGTTTTTTGATATGTTGAGAAAGAAAAAGCGTCGGCGCCCCAGACTGGGGCTTCGTCGCTGCCATTTTTTCCCACTCCAGCACCACCCATTCCATATATATACTGCACCTTTCCTTCGGTTCTTCATCACCAAAAAACTGAAAGAAGTTCTGAGAGAAGCTCTAGTGTTGCTGTCTGGTTGCTGGGAAGATGGCTAATAACAGGTAAGAGTCGTAAATTTTTTTTTCATGTATTCACCATAATGATTTTGTCCAATTAGTAATTAGAGTTTGTTTTTAATGTAGTGGTTTTAGGAGATTTGAACTAGCTGTTCGGTGGCGATCAGAGAAAGTAGAAGACAATTTGGGTGTCCATTTTGTTGGTGGTTTAAGTTTCCAGATGACTATTCCATCCAGGGTGAACTATCAGAAACTTTGTGATCATCTAATTCGGAGAATACGGATTAGAGACGAAACAGTACAAGATAGTGTTGTGATTACAGGTTTCACCTACTGTCTTCCAGAATGGCAGAATGGTGTTTTATTTCATCATGCAATGCCTATTGTCGATGATGATAGCTTAAATGTGCTTTGGAATTTTATGGCACAAAATTCTTATTGTTTGGGTGCTGAGATACATGCTGAGCTCAGTGAGGATCGGGATGGAGAGGAAGACGATGATGACGGTGATGATACATGGAGCGTGCCATTCGATCCTGCCTTTGATGACGATGATGACGAAGAGGAGGAAGATGAGGAGGAGGACGACGACGACGACGACGGGGAGGGAGGAGAACTACCTAATTATCCTCCATATTTTTACTTGCAGGGTAATGAAGAGGACGAGGAATTATCATATGCTGATTCATATGGCGTAATTCCAGGGTCTACTGTTGGTGGTTTTGATGGAGAATTCTACAAGGGGCAAATATTTCACTCGAAACAAGCTGCACAGGTGGCGATTAAGCACTATGCACTACAACGCAACTTTCAGTATAACGTGGTGGAGTCGTCACCTTCAATCTGGAAGATCAGATGTTTGATGCACAAGGAGGACAAATGTCCTTGGATGGTGCGGTTTGGATGTCGAGATGTGGGAGGCGATTGGAGCGTGAGAAAGGTCGAGTTGGTGCATACTTGTAGCAGTACGACTCAACCGACGGATCATCGCCATCTTGATGTCGACGTGATATCTGAGGCCGTCAAACATTTGGTACGTGCCCAACCAAATCTGAGTGTTCTAACTGTGCAAGCCGAGTTGAAAGATAAGTTTAATATGCAAGTTACTTACAAGAAGGCTTGGTATGGGAAACAAAGAGCATTGGAGAAGTTGCATGGAAATTGGGAAGAATCCTATGATTTTTTGCAGACATTCTTGCGGGTGGTCAAGAGAAAAATGCCAACATCGGTGATTGATTGGGTAAGAGTTCCTTCGACTCAACCAGGTCATTCGATATTTCAGCGAGTATTTTGGGCTTATGATCCTTGTATAGATGGATTCAAGTATTGTCCAGGCGTCATGGTTGTTGATGGGACATTTCTTACTGGGAAGTATAAAGGAGTGCTACTCATGGCGAGCTCATTTGATGGCCGGAAGAAGATTTTTCCAATTGCATTTGCCATAGTGGAGAGTGAGAATACTGATAGTTGGCCATGGTTCATACGTCACGTTCAGGGTTTGACTGATCGAAATGATGTATGCATCATCTCAGATAGACATGCAGGACTCTATGAAGCCATGAATAACATCGGAAGAGGTTGGGAGTGGAGGTGGTGCATGCGACACTATGCAAGCAATTTGCAAAGGAAGACTAAAAGCAGAATTATGTATAAGCAACTATTTCGAGTCGGTAAGCCTTCTTCATTTAATTTTGTTATTTATTTTTAGGTAAGTTTGTCATGAATTTATCTAACCCGTGTGGTTGATTATTTTGTTAGCCGGAGAAAAACGCTTGGAGAAGTTCGATCGTCAAGTTGAGCAATTTAAGAAGGTGGCCACTGATAGAAATATTTCATGTGATAACTGGGTGGACCAACATCAGATTCGTTGGAGTTTAGCACATGATAACTTCAATGGTGGGCGTCGTTGGTCTATCCTGACATCCAACATGGCAGAAAGCATCAATGGTGTTTTCAAAGGTATTCGTGCACTTCCTATAGCTTCTCTTGTGCAACATACCTATTGGCGATTGGTGGAGAAATTCGATAAGTACAGGTTGGAGACAGGAGCAGAAATTAGGAGTGGTCCTTCACAGTCGAAGACACATAGCCGACCAGTCCTCGTCTGGTATGTCTACTATGACGGCATCACCGTCGATCGCTAATCCAGTGAGTGTCGCAACGTCCTCTAGAGTGATCGTCACCTCACCGAACGGCATGTGAAATGTCGATGTCTCGGGTCTCCAACGCTCTACGAGCGCAGTAATCAAACCCGGATCACCGGTAAGAGGGGCTAGTGGCAGAACACTAGACAAGCCGGCATCGACGAGATACGGCAGGTACAGTGGATTGTATCGAACTAAATTGCCCGTATGACGAATGTGGTATGGTCGATCACCAGCCTATAATTAATTAATGCACAAAACTATATTAATTCAATTCCTTCAATTCAATTCACCTAATATTTATATTTATATATCTAAACTAAACTTATTCTAATATAATATTCTTAATTTAATCTAATAATATTCTTAATTTAATTTAATCTAATTCTATTCGTCTAATTTAATTTAATTTAATTCTATTCTATTCTATTTCTATTATACAGCTAATAAAAAAACCTATAGAAATAATTTAATTTAAAAAACTTACCTCATTTGCCCAAACTGCGTCAATCCGATGGTGACCATGCCCCCAAAGAAGTTCCGGATCATTCGGAGCAGTATCGATTGTCGTAGGTGGTGGTCTCATCGAACAAGGATCGATAAGCCTAGGAACTGGAAAAAAAAAATATTAGAACACAAAAAAAAAGTCGCCGGAAAAAGTCGCCGCCGGCCGCCGGCAGGACTCACTCCGGTAACGTTCGTCGCCGCCGTCGCCGCCGCCACCGCCACCGCCGCCACGCCGGCCTCGGCCTCTTCCTCTGCCGCCGGGGGCGTGCTCGTCGTCCGACATAGCGCCGCCGCTGTGGTTGGTGCGCCTTCGCCTTGTGCCGCGCGCCGCCGCCTGGGACTGGGGCTCCGCCGCCTTTCTCTTGGCGTCGCCGCTCTGGTTCTCGGCGTCGCCGCTCGTTCTCGGCGCTGGGATGGAGAGGAGGAGTGGAGAGGGGATGGGGGTCTGTGGTCTGGTGTGGTGCGAGAGGGAGGGGGAGGAAGGGGGTAAAAAAAATAAAATTGATAGCGATGGCGCCCAGGTCTCGGGCTTTGGCGCCTTTGAAAATTTTTGAAATTTCAGAAAGCGCCAAAGCTCGAGTCTTGGGCGCCGTCGCTATCAACAGCCTTTAAAACTCCAATATTTGAGTCTCGGGCGCCGTCGCCCACTTCCTTTCTAAAAACACAATATTCATGTAAATAGTTTTAAAACCACTATATTCGTGGTAAATTAAAAAAAAATACAATATTCATGGAATTAACCCACACAAATATTCTCACACTTTTTTTTTTTGGAAGGAAAAGGAGGGGAGGGGAAGTGGGAAGTCCAAGAAATTTTTTGTTGTTTTCGAAGAAAGGAAAGTAAGGGGAAAGGAAAATGGGGTGGAAGATTTACTGCGTAAACCTCACCTTCAAATTGGAGGGAAAGGTTGTTTTGGTGGGCCTTTGTCATTTTTTTGTTTTCTTTTCAAACTCAAACACTTTGGTTGTATAAAAATAAATAACAAACGTTGATGATAAAGTTTAGTAAAAATGGAAAAGAGAAATAAAAAAAGAAAGAAAAAGAAGAAAGCTTAGTAGATAGAAAGTTTATTTTATTATATTTCTGTTGCTTTCTAGGAGAGTAGATAATCATAATTAGCCCTTATCCCATAAAAAAAAATAATTCTTTTTTCTTATTTTTATAGTTATTTTTTTCTTTTTTAACTACATTGAATCATTTTTAATTGATTTATAATGCTTGTCGCTTGATCAATTATTATAAAGTAGGGATTGCAAAAATATCTGTAACCGTGATATCCGCCCAATTCGACCTAATTGGGCCCGAAGGACTTTTAGTGGGTACGGGTAAAACCCGAAACCGAATATTGTGGGTAATGGGTGGGCATGGGTTTCTCACTATCCAACCCGAACCCACCCGATTATACACATGCATATGTATTTTTCTAGAAATAATCATTTGTTTCTACCCGTTTCTTATGTGGGTATGGGTAAAACCTGAACTACATTGGGTAGAGTAACGCATATGCACTATCCGCCCCCGACCTGACCCATTGTCATCCCTATTATAAAGTCTCTATTTATATAAAATTCTCTATTTTTTCCGGTACATTCTTTGGTGCGGTTTAGAAAGAAAATACAAATTTTATTCACAATTCATAAGTAGAATATTAACATACAACCAAATTATTTTACTATTACATAATCAATAAAATAACATATTCATCACATTTCCCAATACACACTTTCCTTCTCACTTTCCTTCATAAAACAACATTTTCCTCCCAATTTCCTTCACCTCTAAATCTCCCCTCCCCTCCTAATTTCCCTTCACCTCCCCTCCTTTTCCTCCCTTCCTTCGGAAACATAGTGTGACACTAACCTAATTTGGCTCTAGGATTCTTCCCCTGTCGCTAGGATTATTAATCAGTCGAGCTACTCGTCAGTAGCTTGATTTTTAACTCGATAAAAGGTTGTTCGATTAAAAAAAAAGCTTGCTTGTTAATAAACGTGTCGAGATTGAGCTCTACCTTGTTCGGCTCGTGAAGCTCGTGAACTAGCTCGATTAGGTGGCTCGTTGAATACAACTCATGAACTGTCTCGTTTTGAGCTTATGAGATGTCCCAACATTGTGACTAGAGAGTCAACTCGACTACAACTTATGAGAAAATCAATTTATATTTTATGAGTTGGTTTGTTAATGATGCATATAATTATTAAATTGTATATATCACCTCATATGGTGTTTATAAACGAGCCGAACATGAACAAGGCAAATCTTGACTCAGCTCGGCTCATTAACAACCCTACATGCCGCTGCCATTCCCCGTCGCTAGGGGTAGACACGTGGGTGGTTAACCGCGGATTGACATCGATTCACTCGCAAATAACCCGACCCGAATGTTGTGGATGATTGATGCGGGTGGATTGGTGACTTTCCCACCCGCATTGATGTGGGTGGGTGGTGGGTGGATTGTGGGTCATTCACATCCTATTTTCACAAGAAAAATGTTGTTTTTTATAGTATTGAATATTCATCAAATTTCCGAAACGCACTACAATATGATCATATACTTCTAAAGGTGGAGAATAAATAATAGTTTTGACTACTGTGTTGTGTAATATCCATTGGATATTGGAATTCAAATTATTGTTGATATTCATTAAATATTGAGATCAAAACAATAAATTATTAACTGTATCAAAATCACAAAATGCTTAAGTTTTCTCTACACAATTGGTGGATAGGGTAGTAAATTTTTTTTATGCAAATACTACATGGATTCACTTGAGACAAAGTGAGAAGTATCTAAATTGATACAATCTTACTAATTTGCTACTTATTATTGTTAGTCAATTTCTTTAATGACTAGTTGGAAAATTGCTTCTGCGGGTTAATCCACGACCCAACCGCACACATCCGCCACCCATTCAACCCGATTCGCAGAAGAATGTGAGTGGATTGCTTTGCGGGTCACAATTATTCCAACTCGTAAGTAAGCGGGTGGGTCAATTTGAGACGAAAACCCTCCCAACTCACCCATTGCCCACCCCAACCCGTCGTTGTTCGCCACCAAAATTTGCCCTAGTATTTTAAATCTCGTCCCGCCGGCCATGCCTGCTTGGTGTGTCGATTGAGGACGCAGAAAAGAATCTCACTGCCATGCCTGCTCGGTGTCGAGCGATGGTGAGGAGGAAGAAGGAAGCGCCTCGCCGCGACCCGACCATTGACCCGCTCAGGACAGGCCAGGAACCCGACCATTGACCTTCTATAATGTCCTGCCCTTGCTGGATCTTGTCTCGGCGAATTAGAATAGAGACAGGTACGACATTGGAAGAGAAGGAAGATTATTTGAGAAGAAGAATCAGAGAATCAGAAGAGGAGAGGAGGAAGAAGAAGAGAAGAGATCGAATGTAGGAAGGAAGCAAGCTTCTTGTTCTGTAATTCGTTAGATCTCAACAGTACATCAATACCGCTTTTATAGCTTGTGCCAAATATCTAAAGGAGTCATTCTATCTTTTATCCCTATCTTTTATCCCTTGCAACTAAGTCATAAGATATATTGGTTCATTACAACTCCCCATCCCTTAAGGACAGACTTGTCCTCAAGTTTGAGACTAGTTAGGACCAAGGTACAAATCAATAATGAAATTACTAAATCAAAAGGAAACAAACTCAAATTGTAGTAGCATTGAGTGATGACAACTTCTTCAGCTTAAAAGTTGATGGTGGCTGCTACTCAAATGGTAAGTAAGTTGTTGGAATGATACTGCCAATCCATGAGTCAATGGCTGCTACTGTGGTGTCGCCTTGAGATTTCAAGAGTGGAAGCCACAAGCCAATGAAGCATGTGCATCCCATGAGAAAGAAACAAATTGCAACAGTACACAATGTTGCCCATCTCATAATCATCACCATGACAATAAAAACTACAACTGACCAACACTCCTTATAAGGATCCTTAAAGTTGGGAGTTGGATTCCTGCCATTAAAATCAATAATTTCATAGCAAACACACACACAAGTAAACTCATAATCACTGCCACACATCCCATCATCTTTGTGTAAACTTCACTCGTGGCCACCAATACCCACGATTCCAACTGACATTGTTCAATTCAACAACGCAACCAATGAACCCAAAATCAGACCCACCATGGCAAGGGTCGCCAAAAATGAAACCGATGGCCTCCCCATCTAAACCCGTGACCTTGGCAACCACATATGGACTTGGTTGCATAGTTATCAAACCCATCACATCTATATCTAGAACATCACCAAAACAAAATTTATCCTTCCTGGTCAATGCTATCCTTCCCTGGTCTGTCTTTGCGGCATTAGCAAGAACGTAGGTTGTCATTTGACTAGGATTACATGTTGTCGCTTGCACAATTTATGCATAAGATTTGTTCGCAACACCCTCGAGGACTGCAAGTCCCCCCCCCCCCCCCCCAAATTTAGAAAATGTAAGACCACCATCACTGTTGGGTGCAATACTCTCAATAGCCACAACTAAGTCACCATTCCAAACCTTGACTTCTGAGGTAGGAACAAGTGCATTCATTACATGTTCATATCCACTCACCACAATCATTTTTGAATATGAACCCTTAGTCTCTACCTCTGCCACACTGCCTACACTATCTTATTCTACCTCAGAACCAACTTTGATCTTAGG